AAATGTAAAAAAAAAATTTTTTAATGTACATAGCAAAAAATATGCAAGCTATCATTTCCTTTGAAAAACTATGATACAAATATTTGGCATATACATGTAATTTATAAAGAACATCTATAATTAAATAATAAAAAGATATGGAATACAATTTCTTAAAATTTTGCAGAGGGATATCCACATCCAGAAGAATGAAACTGAACTCCGATCTTACACCACTCACAAAAATTAACTAGAAATGGATAAAGTACTTAAATGTAAAGCCTAAAACCACGAAATTCCTAAGAAAACAGGGGGAACCTCCTTGACATTCGTCTTGGCAATGAAATTTTGAATATGACACCAAAGCACAAGCAATAAAAGGAAAAGTCAAGTGGGACTACACCAAAGTAAAAAGTTCCTCTACAGAAAACGAAACAATCAACAACATGAAAAGGCAGCCTATAGAAGGGGAGAAAGTATTTGCAAGTCATATATCTGTTAAGAGGTTAATATCCAGAAAATATAAGGAGCTCATACAAATCAACAGCAAAAAAAGCCAAATAATCTCATTAAAAATCAGGCAAAGGACCTGAGTAGACATTTTTCCAAAGAAAACATACAAAGGCCAACAGGTACAAGGGAAGGCACTCAGCATCACTCATTATCAGGGGGATGTAAATCAAACCCACAGTGAGGCATCTCCTCACTCACACCTGTTAGAATGCCTGTTATCACAAAGACAAGATATAACGAGTGCTGAGGAAAATGTGGAGAAAAGGGAACTCTTTTGTCATGTTGGGCAAGGTACATTGGTACAACCACTATGGAAAACAGTATGGAGAGTCCCCCCTCAAAATGAAAATAGAATTACCATATGATCTTACTTCTGGGCATATATCTAAAGGACAAGACATCACTATCTCAGAGAGATACTTGAACTCTCTTGCTCACTCATTGCACCATTAATCACAATAGCCAATAAATGAAAATAAAAGAAGTGTTCCTGCAAGGGATAAATGGCTAAAGAAAATGTTTATATATTTATATATATATACACACACACACACACACACATATATATATATACATGTAACATATACCTATATTTAATAGAATACTTATTTTTAATACTTTACCTATTTACATATGTATAAATACACACATGTAAAATATACCTATATTTAATAGAATACACATTTTATATATTATAATTTCACCTATATATAATATATATACATATATATAATCCAGCCATCAAAAATAAATCTTGTCACTTACAACAACATGGATGGACCTTGAGTGCATTATGTTAAGTGAGATGTCAGACAGAAAAGGGCAAATACTATATGATCTCACTTACATATGGAATCTAAAGAGCAGAACTCAGAGAGAATAGATTTTTTGTTTCTAGAGGCTGGTGGGTGGGGGAAATGGGAAGATGTTAGCCAATGGTACAAACTTTCAGCTAAAAGATGAATAAATTCTGGGGGTCAAATGTACAGTACTATGACTATAGTTAACGATACTGTGTTGTATATTTAATTGCTAAGAAAGTAGATTTTAAATGTTCTCACCATAACAAAAATTGGTAATCATGTGAGGTGATGGTGATGTGTATTAACTAACTTTATTGTGGTAATCGTTTTGCAATGTATATCAAATTATCACGTTGTACACTTTAAACTTACACAATGGTATATGTCAATTATATCTCAAGAAGGAAAAAATTTTAATTCAGTGAAGACCTCAAATACTTCAAAAAGGAAGATTAATGAAGAGCTGTTAAGGACATGATGAAATATTCAACATCGTTAGTCATCAGGAAACTTCAAATTAAAACTTCAATGAGATACCATTTCACACTCACCAAAACAGCTGAAATTAAAATGACTGGCGTAGCAAAAGTTAAAAATGTGGAGAAGCAGGAATTTTCATATGTGACTGGCGAGAGAATAAAATGGTAAATGTCTTTGGAAAAAGATTAGGTACTTTCTTATAAACATCCCCTTACCCTATGGCCCAGCAATTCCACTCCTAGCTAATCACCATAGAGAAATGAAAATACATGTTCCCTTGGCTCCCACAGTAAAATGCATCATCAAAAATGGTATTAGTGAAACCCGCCTTTGGTGTGCCTGAGATTGAAACACGTTTTAAAACACTGCCTTTTCAAAATAAACTTTAACTTCAGATAAGTATTAAATAATTTCTTGTGTATTGGGAGATTATTTCTGACTGAGTCATCAAAGTTTTAAAAGACTGAATTTTTTCCAAGTAATTTTTCATGGCTTTCATTCCATTTAACCAACATCATTTAAAGTCTCCTACATAAAATCTATTGTATCAGAGTTATAGTGATACAAGTGATAATTTTTTTTTATCAGCCTTCACTGCACCCATAACATACTTGGGCAGGTGAATGCATAAATATCTCATCTAAAGTAGACAATGATAAATGCTATGATGGAACTAGAACAAATTTGCTATACTATAGCTGTGGAAACAAGATTAATTTGAGAATATAGGGAAATTTCTCTTAGACAGTATGGAGTTTGAATTGAACTTTGACAGGCAGATATGGAGATGAAAATAAAAGGCAATCACTCAAAACTTACTCCAGTGCTGTCTTAATTTCTTAAAGCTTTGAGCCTAATTATTTAGTAAATATTGAATGAATTCACTGAATCGGTATTAAATCAGCAAATATTTACTAAGTACCTAGTATGTCAAATCTGACAACTGGCATACTAAGTACTTAGTAAGTACTGACACACTTTTTCCTGTTACCACTACAACAACCCTAGTCCAAGACACCAATGGGCTCCTACCTGGACTGAACGACTTCCTAAGTGACTTCCCCTTCTTTGAACTTCCTCTGACACATTCTCTTCCCAGCAGAATGATCTTTTAAAAACCTACTAGGAACACATCATAGGACTTTAAGATGATACTTGCTCTTGGAGTGTTCTTTCCCTGCTTTTGTATGACTGTGTCCTTCTAAATACTTTGAATCTTACCTAGTGTTCACATCCTCAGTGCATCCTCCCCCTGACAGCTCTATCTGATTTGGTCTTCCCAACTCAAAACATATCTTTACCATAGCACCATTTCCATTTTTAATTTGTACTTAAATACTGATCTATTTCTATATTTTAGGTCTCCTCAGCAAGACTGTTGGCTCCTCAAGGGCAGCGACTTTGCTTTTTCCGCCACCCAGTGTATACCTAGCATCTAGCTATGGAGTCAATACACGGCAGACACTGACTAAGTATGTGTGTAATGCTGTATTGTGGGCAAAATCAGACATGATCCCTGACTTCATGGAATTAACAGCCTAGTGAGAGAGGCAGATATTAATCAAATAATCATAGAAGTAAATGGAAAATTATAAATTGATAAGTGCTTGAAATAGAGCACATGATTTTATAAGAACATATTATAGAAGGATGAGATCTCCCTAGAAGAATTCAGGAAAGACTTTCCTAGGGAGGGTACAGTGAGATCTGACAGTTAAGAGTTACTAGGAGAGAAGTGGTAAGAAATACCTTTCAGTAAGTGAGAATGCCTTGTGAAAAAGCTTTGCTGTGAGATTGAATATTATGGGTTGGAGCAATAGCTCTGAACTGGGGGACATATGGCAAGGTCTGGAGATACTGGACTGTCATAACTGAGGAAGGATGTACTACTGGCATCTAGTGCATAGAGTTCAGAGACGCTGCTAAATAATCTATAAAGAACTCTCCACCGTAAAGAGTTACCCAACCAAAATGTCAATGGTGCCAAAGCTGAGAAACCCTGGGTTAGAGTATTCCTTCTCCAACAGTCTCCATTAGAGATGTATTTTACAACATAATCCAGTAAACAAACACATAAAGAGCATGTACATAAGATGATATTTACCCTTTTGCTTGTGATGTTCATTCTTCTCTATTCTGTTCTGTTCTGTTTTATATTTTTCAATGCTGGTCTCAATTCACTAAATTTGTTTCATGATACATGTTCAATCTCAGCCTGCATGAGAAAAGTCCTATGTTGAAGGACCTGAAAGAGGGTGACCAGCTGGGACTCAGGAACAAAGGGGAAGACTGGGAAGTGGCAGAAATGGTGAGGTAGGCAGGGCTAAGGCTCTTCATGGGCTCACAGGCCATGTTAAAGATTTTTGTCTTTATTCTAAGAGTAACAGGAAGACACTGAAAGATTATGAGCAGAGGGATGACATAATTAGATTTTTATTATAGTATACAGCAGGACTGTCCAACAGTAATAGAATGCATGCCACACGTCTAATATTAAATTTTCTAGTATCCTCATCTTTTTAAAAAAGTGAAAAGAAGTGGGTAAAATTAATTTTAATCCTATGTTTTATTTAACCCAATAGATCATTTCAACCTGCAATCACGATGTATATCACGTGGTACTTGTATCATGCAGTTAACAGTCTCTTAGTTATTGAGTGTTCATGTTTATCAGTATGAAGGCATTAGTCTTTTCTCATCACCTTCCCCAAGCTTCCTTGGCAGGCAGTTTTTTCCTCTATGTATGTATATTTGTGAGCATGTGTTCTGTACTTAAAAATCTATCCATATTCTACCCATCAAATACAAAAAGGTACTGCATTTCTTTTCTTTGTGACCCGTGTTAAAATCAGAGGTGAACTTCTGTCATGCAGATTTCCTGGTCGCTTTGGGCTCTGCCTCCAGGGCTGCAGTGCACCTAGCAGTCATCCTCCCTCCAGGAGAAGGAGCATTAAGAGTCTTGAATGGTCTTATGATCCTTCCTTTTGTTACATTTTAAAGCATAAGTTCTTACCAGAAACTTTTCAAATGCAGTAGGAAACATCTTTTTAAAATGCTTGTTACAGAAATTATAGATTTCTTATATAAATGTAGATATTACATAAAGAAAAACGGGATGACACAATATAAATTGTTCTGAACCCTTCTTTTTGCGCTTAATAGCTATCATCATCTTTCTCCATTAATAAGAGATTCTTTGGCATCTGCTTGAATCAGAGTTGAAAATTCCTCATCCTTGGAATTTCAGATGGCTTAAGAGGTTTTTTTTTTTTCTTCTATAAATAATGCTACAATAAACATTTATGTTAGTGTTTCTGCACTTGTTTTGTAATTTTTTTTTTTTTGCAGAGAAAAGAATTTCCATGTTAAAGGTCATACAAATCAAGGGTCTTAATTTAGCCAAACTGCTATGAGAGAGGTTATGCCCATTTCTAATTCTCCCAGCAGTTTAAAGCACTAGAGTGCCAAAACCACACCTCTGTCCAGTCAGACTCTTTGCCTCTGCCAATGTGACAGATGGGAAAACGTCATCTTACCTTTATATTAATTTGCATTTATTTTATTACTAGCGAGTCTAGATGAACTTTTTTCCCATGTGTGTGTTGGTAATCTGTATTTCCATTCTTTTATTTCTGCATCATTTATGGATATCCTTAGTCCAGTTTTCTCAGAAAGGTCATCTTTTTGCCATCCATTCATAGCTGCTCTTAATATGAGAATATTAACTCTTAATAACAGATATCTTAAATATACTCCAGTTGGTCATGAAGTAGGGGAAAGGGGGGTCTTTTGTAATATTGTGGCTTAACTTTTTATGTCCTCAAGTCTATCAATCTTTTTATGTAGGTTCTGAATTGACATCACTGAGCAAGTCATTCTTCATCATAGTTTATAAAAACATCAGTTTTCTGTTATAAATTTTCTATTATATTTTTTGGTTTTATTTTTAATACTTACATATTTAATCTACATAGGCTTAAGTCTGGTATAAAGTCAGAATGCTTTTCTACATGGTTAGCCAATTAGGACAACAAAAGTATAATTAGTTATTTGTTCAGTGACCTGATTTTCCAACTTGATTATATAACAATATTCTACTCAATGAAATAACAAAGGATTGAATAAAAGGAGAAGATACCTTAACACAGAGCTAAAAATAGTAGAAAGATCTCTAAATACGGTACCTATGGCTAGTTTTTCTAAAACTTTGTGTTAGGCAATGTATATGCAATTGCCAAGTCTAGATTAAATATGAAATTAAACCATAAAATAAATTACTAAAGTTATTTCTTATCTTTCATTTATAATTTCTAGTTCCCTCAGCTTTCTTGAAACAAATTTTATGAAGCAGAGGAAATTGATTGGAAAGAAAATTTGCCAGTGTTAAGCTCGAGCAGGTAATTATGTTTCTAACTTTAATGGTATTTTATTAATTTCCTTGAAATATTAGTCAAGAAAAGTCAAACATCAAAATTCTTCTCTTGATAAAGAAGTTCTCATTGTTGCTCTTAATAAGTACACAAATTTGAATTAATGGAAACATTTTTAACTTTTTATGGAAATTAAAACATAAACAGAGGTACAAAGAGTAATATAATAAACCTGCTACACCTATCATCCTGCTTCAGCAATTTTTTTAAACTCTTGTGTTTACTTTAAAGATGAAACCATCATCACCTTAAAATAATGTAGAACATTTTCTTAAAACCTTCAAATATTCATCATTGTTCACAGGTTCTTAATTATTTTCTTTTCCTGTTTTTAAGTTTCCTACTTGATCTGTGATTCAAATAAGGTGCATACATTGCAGTTCTTTGATGTATGTCTCGTCTATTTATGGATTCTCCTTCAATACCCTGGGTTTTTATCTTTGCATTTTTGTTGTTGTTATGAAAGAAACTGGCTCTTTTGCCATATAGGATTCCCCTACAGTCTGAATTTTGTTGATTGCATCGCTATGATGAGAAGCGGAAGACTCAGATTTAAATTTTTGTATGTGGCAAGATTATTTTATAGTTATATGGTTTTGTCTTTTTCCATGGGGAGATGCATGCTGTTCTCTCTTTTTTAAAATATTAATAGCCACTGATTATCATTACCAATTCAATACTGGTAATATTCTAACCCTGCTATTTCTTCTTCATTTATTATCTAGAACACATAAATAAAGAGAAACTTGGTTTCATTAACTATTTGGGTACTTTAAGGTACAGCTTATACAGGAAAGTTAGAGTAAATAGTTGTATCTTTCTCTTGCTTTACTAGTATTTAAAGTAATGAGCTAATTTCTAACATCCAGAAATCACAATTAATTCTGATTTTTGAATATTTAACATTTTAAACATTTCCATTCCAACTGATTGTCCCATCTTTGTCCAGTGGGCGCTAATTCAGGTTAAGGACCAAGTCCTTTTGAGTAGAGCCTGTTTGGGAGGTTCTTTTTTATCAGGTACAGGATGTGCCAATTTCCCTTGTACATTTCCTAAACCAGGTCCAAAACTCAGTCATTTCCCTAAAATTCCGGTTCCTTTAGGTGGAAAATGATATTTCAAGATTCCAGTCTGGTCAACTGAGTTGACCATTGTTTCTTGGCTTTTTCAGATAACCAATTTAGATCTCTAGGAAATATCTATTTTATTAGTCTTGGTTCAGCTCCTTTGATGACCTTTACCATATATTAAAATATACAGTTATAATAATTAAAACAGTATGGTACCAGCACAGAGTGGATGGCATAAGGGGACATAATAGAAAGTCTAAAAATAGATCCATGTGTTGTAAGAATTTAATATAGATAGTTTCAAACTTTCATGCAACACGTTTTTCTGTACTTTGTGCACTGACATCCCTAAGGTACTCTGCATGAGCCAAATTGGGTTTTTATATATATGCTAATTACCAAACATTTTGATCTAGAGAATATCCCTAGCTCATATTGCACACATTGTCATCATGTTTGCTTGTGGAATTTTGGATGTTTAGAATGCTTTTTTAAATTGTCCTTAGGCGACTGTAATGGCGTGAAAATAGAAACCTGGAGGTGCTGATGTTAGTGAAATTAGTCATAATATATTTAAGATTTAATTGTAAATGATCAGATAAGCCAGAAGTGTCACATCTTTATTCTCTACGGCATGTTTATTGGGCTTAAGCTCATCAGTTGTCTGTTTGGTTGTTGAGTTAGTATAGGAAGTTAGATTTAATATAAGGGTCCTTGTAAGTAAAAGAGGGAAGCAGGAGAGGCAGTATTAGAGTGATATAGCATGAAAAAGACTCAGATGGTCATTGCTGGCTTTGAAGACAGAAGGGGCCACGAGCCAAGGAATGTGAGCAGCCTCTAAAACCTGGAAAAGGAGGGCAAAGGGAACAGCCCTGCCCACCCCTTGATTATAGCCCAGTGAGACAGCATCAGATTTCTAACCTGCAGAACTGATATTTAATAAATGTGAGTTGTTTTAAGCCAATAACTTTGTGGTAATTTGTTATATCAGCCATGGAAAACTCACACACCATGGAGGTCTTTTAAAGCATTCCACAAGTAATACATTTGGAACATTGTATTAAATTATGCTTTGAATTTGAGTTGAGTTATTCATTTATTAACAGTGGCCCCCAAAATCCAGACAAGAAGTGAAGTTGACACAGGCAAAACTGTAATTTTATCCTCAAAACCTTCCTATTTAATAACTATCAATAGAGGGCCTACTACATGAAGTGTATGCACTTTAGGTGTATACACACACACACAGTCACAAAACTAAGTTTTCATAGTTTCCCAGTATTCTCTCCTGCACTCCACTCACTGGATTTTATGCTCTGGGCCTGTCTTCAGCTGCTTGTTGGCACCAAATTTACATTTCTTACGTTTCATTCATCATCCACTCACTCAGGAAAATGTTTGCTGAATACCTTCAATGTTTTAAGAATGTGCTTCTCATTCCAGAGATTCAGGTATGTCCCCCTATATCTTGCCTTACTCACTTCGTTATGCGATGAGATTATGAGATCTACTGCCTTAGTTGCTGACATTTACAGAACTGCATTGTATTTCTTGGATACGTTTTTAGCGAGGAAAACATTTACAAAACACTCGACAGCCAATTGGACAACACTGAAGTGTTCCAGCAAAGTACTGATGTGGTCAAAACATCACGACTGCCGTGTTGAGGAAGGATGAAAGACCAGACTGAAAGCAGGAGACCAGTCAAAAGGCTGTAGGAGACATCTAGTGAGAGACGCCTAGGATGGTGGCAGCAGGGTTGAAGAGAAGTGTGTGAATTCTAGGGAAATTTAGAAGTTAAAACTAACAGCAGTTGGTTGTGGGTTGGAGAGGGCAAGGAAAGGGGCGAGGGTGACTATAGGCAACTGTGTGGATAGTAGTGACAGGTACAGAGCTGGGGAACGTGAGAGGGGAAAAGATCTTCGTGGAGAAAGACGTGAACTGAGATGGAGAAGAGGTTACCTGTCTAACGGGAATGGAGGGGTGATCCCTAATGAACAGTGATGTCATAACTGGCACTAGTGTCTGAAAGAGCGTCTATCCCTGGGGTTTAGAAATAATTCTGTGGTCTTTGTTGTCTAACTCAAAGGAATTATAAACAATAGGCATTTTAAACCAGGATGGAGAATTTAAGACTAACCTGAAGAAAAGATCAGAGCAGGTAGGGAGTTCCTTTTGGAGGAAAAGGTGATTTGGGGAGTTTTTCATATCATACTCTGGACTCAGAGACCCACCCCAGGCGCCTGTGGGATAACCCTAGTGTACACTTACCCCTACATATGGGCCATAATGTATCCCTGGGAAAAGCAGTCACCTGAATTGTCTTTAATGAGCCACATGATTCAGACAAATGCAGACGGTTTTCTCTGAGCTATTCTGACTGCCTGCCTTCTCAGTGCATTAGTGACTGAAATCTCTTGTTCGGCTAGGGTTGTACGCACACTGCTGAGAAGCAACCACTGAAGCCTACCCTGGAACCTGTAAGAATGAGGGCTGCTCAGGCAGCACAGGAGAATTACAGACAGTGGCATTCTGGGAAAAAGTAAAATTATGAATATTCTTTTGGTCACGCTGATTCATATCCTGAGATAGACTCATCTCAGATTGATCAATGAGGACTTCATCATGAAAAAGTATGGTTTTTGAGCCTGTATTTGAAGATTCCTAAAAAGACCTAACACAGGGCTACTGGGTTTTCCCAAACATAAGCCATTCTGGAGAAACTGCAAAGGGAATAGAACTATTGATCTGAGGAAATAAATAACATAAAAATGGTGAGAAATCCCGGAAAGAATCAAGGCTGTTGTGAATTGGTCTGAGAAGAGTTGTGAATTCTCTTAGGGCCATGGCAGCCTGACAGCAGCAAGGAAGTACAGATTGGGACAGATAATTTTAAAGTTCTGCTTTTATCTCACCCTTCACTGCCTTGAGATAATCACTGCCAGCTCCTCTGCATCAGAAATCAGGAGTAACTACCAAGATCCAGACCCCTGGGTGTGAGTATTCTCAGAGCAGCATTTTGAGGCTGAGAAGCTGATGTAGGCATCAGCTGACCAGTCACCCTTGGATATTCACTGATCCCCTCTTCTCCACCAAATACCCAGGGCTTGAAATTTGCAACGCAAAGGGATTGCCATCTCATAGCACTGCTCCCACCTAAGAGTTTAGAAGTGAATGCCAACACAGAGCTGTTGCCCAGTGGGATGGAGCAGATTGGATTGATGTGAGGGATTCAGTGGTGCTAGGGCTTTAGGACTTATTCCTTGTATTCCTCCCTCTTGACTGTTGCCTGACGTTCAGTCCTTTCCTCCCATATAGTAGAGTTTTCAAACTGTGGGTGGTGTTGACCCATTCGAGATGATTAAATCAATATAGTGACTAATGACTTGCATTCTTCAATAACATGAAATTAACCAGAAGTTATCAGAGTGCACTGCTCATCATGAAGTAAATATCATCTTGTAATACATAGGAAATATCTTTACTAATATCATTTTGTAAATATATATCAAATGAGTCATGAGGTAACATATATTTTTTACTGCAGAATAAAGTCAAAAAAGTTTCAAAGCCCCTAAATGGCTGTTATACTCAGGAAAACACTACTTCATAGACAGCTGAGGGAATGCAAACTATAAAATAAAGGTAGTAAGTTGAACAACAGTAACTGTATGGAGAAGAACTGTTAGCATAGATAATGTAAATAATCATAATGAATATTCTCAAATAGAGAATGGAGAGTATTGGTTTGTTTAGTAGTACAAAGAAGAAAACGGAACAAGGTGAAACATGAACAAATACCAGTTTGTAGAACATGTGAGCTGAAATACCAGATTGAGGAATGTTCCCAAAGGCAGCAGGAAACAATAATTATGGGACATATAAAGAAAGTAAGAC